CGCCAAAATTAAAGAAGTTTTGAAGACCTGCTAGTATATGTAGCGGTAGTACGATCAGTGTTGGAATACGCAGCCTAAGTATGGAACGGTAATCCTATTAGAGAGGATTATCTACTAGAATATCACAAAGCTTAAGGAACACAAACTTCGTCATCTTTTGCCTAACAAAATCTCCCAAATAAAGCAACGAGATCAAATGCCGCAAAGTAATAGGCTTATAACCTTTCATGTAAATCTGAACGACTTATTAATTAAACAAAGCCCAATTATATATGCTATCAACAAGCATAATCTTAGTATTGACATTGAAAAGTGAATATGATTTAACATTTTCAAAGTTTAAATAATCTATCTTCTTACACATGTAAATATAACTCACTTTACAACCTCAACTGAACTTTTATATTGTACTATAACTATATAAATTCTATATAACTTGTTGTAAACAGCACTGTAAATTAGCTTACTGGCTATTTAGTGCATGTAATAAACCATTATTATCCCCCCCCCCGAGCCAACGGCGCGGAGCGCCGTTCTGGGTGTAAGCCCGGGGCGAGGGTACTAATTCCCTCCGGCTATTTACACTCGGGGAAACGAAAGCATTAGCGAAGTCTAAAGTTCATTAATGATCGCGTAAGTGGGTGCCTGGGTGGTCATCCTCACTGATCTATGGCTGATTGCATGTAGGAGTGGGAAAGCAAGATTTCAATTTTAAAAACCATATATTTGGAAAATCGTTTCATATACAACAAGCTTGAAGCAATTTTGTTTGAAGAAATGAGAAGAATTGATTTACTATAGGAAATCGTGAAATATACGGCAAGTTTGCTTTGAATATTTAATGTTTATGAATTTTGTTGGTAATTGTTGCTTTAACTTTTTGCCTAAAAACATGAACTGTTTTCCTTTTCAACGACAACGAAGCTCTAAGTTTCATAAATTACCGTTCAGCTCTAAGTTTCATAAATTTAATTTCAGAAAATCTTAAAATGTAAAGGAGAACAAATTCATTCGAAGACGTACTGAAATTACCTAACAATTTGTTTTATATGTAACTTAATTTTATTATGTTTTATTATTTATAGTTAGTTATATTATTTATAGTTTGCCGATAAGCAAATGAACTATAGCTGAATGAACATTTCAAAACATTTTACGAAGCGTTTCAAATTAAATTTTACATTAAATCAAAGCTTACAAAATGCAAAATAATATACCTACAGTATATATTTCGTAAATTTATTGTTGTATAGTTAAAAGTACGAATCTTTCAACTATTTTGCAGTTTTGTACAAAAAAATATGAAAAAATTAAAAATTTAAGAATATCGTCTTGTGTTGTTATGGCAACACTTGAGCGCGAGCCTGCGTTCAGTTGCCATTTCTGAACACTTCGTGTTAATTTAATGTTTGGAAAATATTGGCGAGGGGTTACTGGATGCATGTATTTCTAGTTATATAATAATGTATGCCCATTAGTTACTGGGCGTCTACCCATTTGTTACTGGGCGTCTAGGAAGAACAGTTTATGACTATTCAGAATAACAGCTTAGTTTAGGCGATCGATTAGTTGTGAAAAACACACACAAACAAAACAATGAACTTTATAAACCAAGATATTATTAATATCACTAGAAATACATGCATAGAGCAACCCCTCGTCTACATTTTCCAAACATTGATTTAACATGAAATATTAGTAATTGATCAACACTGCCGTCAGTGGTGCCTCAGCGACACGATACTTTTAATTTTTATTATATTTTTGTACAACACGCCAAAAACAGTTGAAAGCTTTTAACTGCTTATCATAACAATGAATTTCTGAAATATGTACTGCAGGTATGTTGTTCTGCATTTCGTGAGCTTTGATTTAATGTAAAATTCAACCTGAATCGCTTCATAAAATGTTTTGAAATATTCATTTTATTAAATAACTAAACTGCTTTTTCCGATGAACTGTTTTCACTTGATAAGACAAAATAAGTTCAAAATATAGAGTAAAATCAGTTTGGTTTTCAAATTAATTTGTTCTCCTTTACATTTTTACCTTTTTTCTTTATTTAAACATTAAAACTCCTTTTTTCTAAATTAAACAGGGTAATTTAGCAAACTTTAATGCAGCTTCATTGAAAAGGAAAGGAGTGCATGTTTTACGCAATAAATTAAAGTAACAAAATTAATAAATATGAAACATTCAAACTTGCCCTATATTTCACGATTTCCCATAGTAAATCAATTCTTCGCATTTCTTCAAACAAAAATTGCTTCGAAGCTCATTATGTGAAGCGTGATTTTCCAAAATATATATGCTTTCGAAAATTGAAATCTTGCTTATCCCACTCGTGGCAAACAGCCATATTTTTGAGACCACCCATGAATCATAGTCACGCGCCCGCGATCATTGATGAACTTTAGACTTCGCTAATGCTTTAGCAGCTGGGAAATTTGTCTGAGCATGCGCCAGATTAACCAATATTTCCATTGAAACTTGACGATTTCCCCGAAGAAATATAGCGAAGACGCTCGCGGTTGTTGTATATTTTTCGAGATATTTTTGAATGCCTGTTTAAACTTTATACTTTTTTGCTTGAGTCAAAGACAAAGTAAAATGTACTCTACGTTTCCAGTGTATAGAATATCTGTTTGAAGAGCAATAGAATATTATAATCCTCACACAAACAAGACTGAATCTGAAGCTCGGTATAAAACGCCACTGAATCGTCGCGAGGACGCGAGCTTGACAGCCTTGTCAAACGCAAAACAAGTACAAATTTTGGTTCAAACAGAAAGAAGTTCAATGTTAATACGACTAGCATATATTCTATTCAAATACGGGCGGTTGAAAATGTATTTCAATTGAATTTTTAAAGCTTTTATCTATTGATATGATAATCAAACTGTGGCGAAAATGCCGGCTTTTGTTGACGCCTTGCGAATGCAAAATAACTCCCCGTAAACAACATATTTCTACAGCAAACTTTCGCTTAGTCTTCAGACGCACTTGTATGTTCGGTTTTACGAGTTAAACAAGGAAAATATCCAAGAAACACTGGTAAATTATCGTTGTCAAAAAACATTTCAGTGCCGAGGCAGTAGCAAGAAGATCTCAAGGGCAAGTCAAGTTGTCGATTTCATTACATTTTCATAAATTTCACAGTACTTCGAATGTTTTCGAACTCTTGCGTCATACAAGAGCAGTAAACGCACGCATTTCAAAGCGAAATAAGACCCATAAGCGGAATTTTTCAACAAAATTTATTGTTAAATTCTGTTTCCTATGTGCCTTGGGCGCAAAAAAATATGATTTTGAATTTGGAGCAATAGGCAAATTTTTTTGCAATTTGGCCTGGTATTGCACCCTACCTATGTACTGACTGTGCTGCAAAAATAATCAAATATACTATTTTTAATTTCCCTTCATTGAAAGGATCTAATATTGTGGACCAAACTAAATCTTAATCAGCATATAAGGCTGCAAACAACAGCCAAGTATTAGCTGGGTAGTTTGCAAACTTTAAAAATAATTGTACCTCAAACTTTGACCTCCAAAAGTAAACAAATAGCCAATACTGCAAACATAATCCAAGTTTTGATGACTAAGCGGAATTTTTAAATGTAAAAAAAACTTGTTTAAATTACACATTAAACAAAGGCAAAACAAAATTTGGTATTAATTTTTTGGAGCAAAAGTCAAGGTTTTTTGCTGTCCGCCCACGCTTCTACACCCCCTCTCCCAGGATCTTCTATCTCAAAAAACAGTTTTCTGCACAAACTATGCTTTTTTCTCGGGAAAATGTTTCTTTTTCTTAAAAAACACTTTATAAACATGGAAACCTCAAATATTTAAATAATTTTCATACCTTTTTGGGATTGCAAAAAGCAAAATCTGATTCATTATCCCACTTTTTAAAATATATATGAGAAAGTTGCTTCGAAATCACTATCACGCAGTAGCATGTTTATTTACCCTCATCATTTTGACTGAATAGAGTTTATCTTTTTGAAAAGCGATTTTTGTTATAGCTCTTGGTTTACCTGTTTACGTTTATGTCGATTTTGGTACCCATGAGACCAACAAGTTGCAGTAATCCTCGAATGAAAATGGATATTCGAAGAGCATAAAAGCCAACTCCTAGCCATGTAACTTTATCGCCTGAATTTTGAATCATCCCACAAACTAAAATGCTGATAATGTAGATGCTTTCCATACTTGAGACACGGGCAATAGGACAGGTGTAGTGTTGTTAAATATAAAGTTTCCTTGATCGTCGTCTTAAAAATGCAAAATCATCAGTTGAAATTTCACTCGTCTTGTTTTTTCAAATTTTCGAATTTTTGTAAAATATCACGTGCGCCAGCAATTTCTCTGCAAAGCGGCAGCAAATTTCCCAGCTGCTGCATTTGAGTGAAATACCGTAAAAAATCACGGCGTCACGTGGCATAAATGCTGGTTTTTTATTGAACAATATCAATATCATCGAATCACGCCTTACGTCATCGTATTTGACGTAGCGGGTGATCAATTATATCATCCAGGTGATATGGATAAACCATGCATAAACCATGCGCGGCGACCACGCAAACAAGATGGCCGACAAAATATACCAAGGAGTGATGAATTATTATTTATGTTTCAAAGAACGCTCTTTTTTAAAAAATTATGAAGCAAATTTTGAACGCGCTTAACATAATGAAAAAAATATAGTGGAACAAAACAAGAAAACCTCGAGAACTAAAAATTTGCTTAAAGTGTCTTAACTAAACATTTTCACGTGAATATTAAGAGGTATGTTACCTTCAATGATCCAAAGGATACAGGGGAAGGGGAAACGTCAAAAACTCAGGTATAAATAAAAATTAAACAATGTATTGCTTAGCTATATATACTTAGCCATTTATAATTTATTCTCAACTTGGTGGGTTCTTTAACTTTCGGTATAATATATCATTTATAGACCCTCCGCTTGGAGGAATCGGGGAAACATTAGCCTCGGTGATTGATATTTCTTCACCGGGGCAAATATCATCACTTCGGGTAATATTTCGCCGAATCCCCCTCGCTCCGCCTCCTGGTCTATAAATGGTCCGATAATAATTCTCTTACCTCTCAAACTATTCAAATGTCGAAACAATCCCGTATAATTACTGACCAACTTGAAATGATTGTCGAGAATTTCTTGACGAACATTGTCCCACTCTGGGTTTAACTAAATTCAAAATTAATACAACAGATCGACATGTATATATGCTCATTAATGTAAAGGACAATTATACCAAAGGAATATACCATGTCGGACTTTACAGTCAATTGAGGTTGGACAATATATATCATGTACGATCATGCTCTGTGCTGCAAATCCTAGTCGAGCCGGTGTGATTCAGAAAATTAATACTCTATTATCGATCATAAAGGGAATTTACATGTGAAAGCCTATATTTATTATTTAACTGACATAAACCTCCCACGTTTTGAATTACATAATAAAAGTAAAATTGAATGTTTTTCATTAGTGATTGGTACTTACATTGCCGAGATGATTTAAATCCAAAATCTTTTGTTTTTCTTCAGTTATAAAGATTTTCCTAGAAAGGAGACAGATATATATTACCAGGAAGTAGATTGTCACACATGATTTGGATCAATCAATATTAAAAGGAAGAATAGTGGAAGAATTTGTTACTAGACTATAAAGACTAAAGGGTGTTTTACAGTCCGGCGTTTTTATACGGCTAACTCAGAAACTCACAACCGCAAAACCTCGACATTTAATTCTTAATGCTTATGAATTATGTTCATAGCATTTTGAAAAACACAATTTCCATGCTCCCACCCTACATCATTGCTCATTTCGCGTTCGACAGTCGAAGTTTTGACCTGGAAAAGACATGCAACCTTATCGAATTAGCTATCTGTATATATACAAACACCCTTCGTGTACAAAGGGGGCTAGGGGGCTCAAGAAGCTTCACCCCCCCCCCCTAAGCTCCTTGTGGGGCTGACCTTCCAATATATTTGGAGATTGCATATTCATAACTTGGAAAGTTCTTTGTACTGTAGTGTTGGAATGATTCATTAATGATTTTAGTAATCTATACTTGATCACTACGATCATTAGATCATGCATGAAATAGTTTCGGTATATCTAAAAAAGCCTAATTTAAGAGTGACTAAAATCAAAAATAAATACCGGAACTTTCCATGTTTATCATGTTGTACCCTCCACGCCTTAATTGTCACCTTCGCATCTTGTTAACCCCTCCCCTCTTATTATCATTTCAATTCTACACCACTGTTCATGTAGTAGTTATTCCACACTGTTAATTTCAGGGTGTTAAAATAACACCTCGGGTGGTGTTAGATTAACACCAACTGGTGGTGTTAAACAAAGGTGTTATTTTAGCACCCTTTTTCGGTGCTAATTTAACACGACATAAATAAAAATATTTTGCAAAGTGTTAATTTAACACTCAAATTGTTTAACACCACTTTAGAGGTGTTAAAATAACACCCACTTAAGGACAGGTGGTGTTAAAATAGGGACTAGCTAACAGTCGTGGGTCGTGGGTAGAAAATAACACCCACTTAAGGACAGGTGGTGTTAAAATAGGGACTAGCTAACAGTCGTGGGTCGTGGGTAGAATGTCGTGGGTCGTGGGTAGAATGTCGTGGGTAAAAAGTCGTGGGTCGTGGGTAAAAAGTCGTGGGTCGTGGGTAAAAAGTCGTGGGAATAACAGTCGTGGGTCGTGGGTAGAATGTCGTGGGTCGTGGGTAGAATGTCGTGGGTAAAAAGTCGTGGGTCGTGGGTAAAAAGTCGTGGGTCCCGATTAAAAAGTCGTGGGTACCGAATAAAAAGTCGTGGATCCCGAGAAAAAAGTCGTGGGTCCCGAATAAGAAGTCGTGGGTCCTGAGAAAATGCCGTGGGTCCTGAGCAAAATATTTCCATATATTTACCTTTCTCCCTTAGGAATGCGTGTTTTTTTTTTCTTCTGAGGCTTTCCCAAATATACATAGTCATAGTCCGGATTTTTTATATCGGCAGATCGGTTTATAAATATTATAACCAAGTGTGGATGAAACAGTTCAACTTCACGCCCCATATAGCTCAAATATTTGGACGTTATAATCTAACATAGACAGATATTAATTACGGCAATTCTTCAATAGCAATATGGCTCAAGGGCGACATGTACGAAAGCTGAATAGTCAGCTTTCCACTAGATATAGTCAAATTTTTATAACCGGCAATGGCATAAATAATATGTTTTCAGAGCTATATATAGAACTGCGGAGATATTCTAAAGCGCTTTACAATGTAAACTTACAATAACAAGACGCTCTGTGGAGCGTTAACTCGCTGGGGCTATACAAGTCATACAAATACGCACATTACTAAGCGGAAAAGTCGAATACGAGCGCAAAACGCTTAACACAGTACTAAAATGCGGTAGGCCCTACAAGTAAAGTTATATTTAGTACGCTACATTCTTCAATTAAGACTGTCAGCCGCCAGTTGGTCCGTACGCTAGGAATAAACTGCGCTTTAAAACGTTCAAAATAAAATATTTTGGGGCTTTCGGCTCAAAATACTATCAAAATAAAGAGAGAAGTAAGACGAATCCACTGGTATACGGCCGAAAAAGAGAAAACCAATGATACCAAAGTTATCAACAATACAATTTCGCTTGGCTTTCAAAGACAAAGCCATAAATCGCTAGAATACTGTTGTTTTATAGTAATACATTTGACATCCGTATTTAACAATACAATTTCGCTTGGATTTCAAAGACAAAACCATAAATCGCCAGAATACTGTTGTTTAGTATAAATACATTTGACATCCGTATGAGCGATAAAAATATCACCGTTCGATTCAGGGTATAAGAAATTGTACTAATTTATACGGATGTCAAATTTTATACTAAACAATAGTATTCTAGCGATTTATGGCCTTTGCCACTTTGTCTTTGAAAGGCAAGGAAAATTGTATTGTTATTAACAATAACAATACAAATTCGCTTGTCTTTCAAAGACAAAGGCCATAAATCGCTAGAATACTATTGTTTAGTAATAATTTGACATCCGTAATTAGTACAATTTCTTACTCTGAATCGAACCCGAACGGTGATATTTTTATCGTTATTGCGCCATGAGGCATTACAAATACAAGGACATTCGTACTGCGAGCGATTTATCAACAATACAATTTGACCAATTTCGCTTGATTTTCAAAGGCCATAAATCGCTAGAATACTGCTGTTTAGTAATACATTTGACATCCGTGAGTACAATTTCTTACGCTGAATCGAACGGTGTCGCTTTCTTCTCAAAATATATAAGCAGCGCAGCCAAACGTATAAACTTGCGATTTGCGTCTTGTGGATAATTGGGGGGGGGGGGGCGAAATTCCTTGTAAAATTGTTCAATTTTCCCGAATTTTCCTCAAAATGCAGGGTTATTTATGGATAATTTGGGTAAAAATGGCAGGAGCCTTATGGATAATTGGGGGAAAATTAGGCAGCTCATTAATATTCTATTTTGTGGCTATCGACGATCCACTATCCAAGAAAAATGCAAGCCGAAACCTATACTCGCCCGGGGCACAGAGTGCCCCAGCGAGTAATATGCGATCGGCTTATAGTTCACCCTGGTTAAAGCCAGCTAGTAAGGATCGAACTGACAGTAGGTTTTAAATTTTTGTTGCTATAATCGTAATTAAGATTACCATATGCACACCATAGTTTAACTTCGCGTGCTCTGTATGTGATATGAATGATAGTTCTTGATTGAAAGCAGACGTTTGTCTGTAACAAAACTTAACTGTCAAAATTTATGCATGTCAAACAGCAATGTACTAGCTTTAATCTGCAAGACATTTCAAACAAAATATTTCTGGTAGCCGAACAGCCTCAGGGCTCGTCCCGTAATGCTCTGGATCATTCTACGACGCTACCAAAACACGCTACCCAAATTACACAGCTGATCAGATCACAGCCCAAAATAACTGCATGCAAGAAAGCATTAATTCATACAATGAGTGCCGAAATTTATTTTATTTATATGAAAATTTTAATATGGCAGACAAATAAATAGACAAAAATACAAAACTCAGGAAAGTGTCAAAAATGACATATGGCAAAACACAAATGACGCTGTGTGCATGCATGCATGGTGTTCACGACAAGATAGCAAAGAGAGTTACCAAGACTAACTATTTAGTAACAGAGTAGATAGACTGGACGTTAGAGAGTGAATGGAAAAGACGGGAAAATAACTAGAAACGAACAGATATTATTTACGAGTTGAGATAAGTGAATGTGAATTAGGTTGGTCAAGAGTGTAAGAAGTACTTGAAACGTATAGGTAGTTCCGAAATATCGCCCATTCGAACCGACTTGTCCTCGTAGCTCAGTTGGTAGAGTATTGGACTAGCAGTCACGGGTTCGAATCCCACCGTGGTCAGGCAAATTTATCAGTCTGCCTGATGTGGATACACACTCAGAGTAACATCACTATACATTCTACACCTGAGTACATAACACCATAATAAAACTTACATCAGTCACGCATAGTGTATAAACTCCGGGATTTCCTATAGATTCTCCTGATGCCTCCATGATTAACAAATATTAACTACAGCAACTGTCGTGCATATTTCGTAGCATGTAACATATTATCCGATTCATGTTATTTTTCACCGACCTTTTATGGGCGGAAATGAAGCATAGAACTGAATTCTTCATGCTGAGGTTTAATTGTCTAAAACTGAATACAAAACGTTGTTCGAATTAACGCGCTGATTTCAATTCGAAATTAACGGATTAACTTTGGTAAAAAGAACAATATTATATGCTGGTATTTTTCACCATGACAAATCTAAACACAAACACTTGATTGTGAGCTAAATATAAACAAAGCATGATGTTAAAGGGAATGGCAGCAAAAATTTTACACAGTCTCTTTAATTGCTAATAGCTATAGATTATATTTGCAGTGTTGTTTTATCGTGTGAAACTAACATTTACAGTGGAGGACATTTTGATTGGAAATTAAACATCAAATTCTACCTTGCGTGCTTATTTCATCTTGCAAATTTATTTTAAACATCAAATTCTACCTTGCGTGCTTATTGTGTCATTTTCTGGATGACCTGCTTCGGACCTCCTTTCTGCTTTTCCTGCAATTGACATATCATGCATTAGGAGTTGACTCCAAGAGCGAAAAAGCATGACAAGTGCCCTTTTAGCGGCTAATTAATATATCTGCTTAAGCTATTCTTAGAAATTTGCCGGTTTAAGGTAAACATTCAGAACTGATAAAGCTATAATTATGCAGGGAGTGGGGCTATAGTTGTTCAGAAGTGTATCAGCTTAAGCCTTGACTATACAGCGTAAAATAAATTCAAAACAAATTTCTCTTCAATACGAAGGCTAATTGCACAGCAGCTTGTTTATAAACAAGAAAATATTTTTCAAAAATTATTGGAAGTACCTAGAGATAAATAAGATCGTTAAACAGTAATAAAGTGCAAACATGCAAAGAAACTTTACAGTGATGAGTGGCGAAAATTCAGCAATATGTCAGAAACATACAGATATCGTTGGAACTAGACTTAGTTCCGAAATATCGCCCATTCGAACCGACTTGACCTCGTAGCTCAGTTGGTAGAGTATTGGACTAGCAGTCACGGTTTGAATCCCACCGTGGTCAGGCAAATTTATCAGTCTGCCTGATGTGGATACACACTCAGAGTAACATCACTATACATTCTACACCTGAGTACATAACACCATAATAAAACTTACATCAGTCACGCATAGTGTATAAACTCCGAGATTTCCTATAGATTCTCCTGATGCCTCCATGATGAACAAATATTAACTACAGCCACTGTCGTGCATATTTCGTAGCATGTAACATATTCTCCGATCCATGTTATTTTCACCGACCTTTTATGGGCGGAAATGTAGCATAGAACTGAATTCTTCATGCTGAGGTTTAATTGTCTAAAACTGAATGCAAAACGTTGTTCGAATTAACGCGCTGATTTGAATTCGAAATTAACGGATTAACTTTGGTAAAAAGAACAATATTATATGCTGGTATTTTTCACCATGACAAATCTAAACACAAACACTTGATTGTGAGCTAAATATAAACAAAGCATGATGTTAAAGGGAATGGCAGCAAAAATTTTAAACAGTCTCTTTAATTGCTAATAGCTATAGATTATACTTGCAGTGTTGTTGTTATCGTGTGAAACTAACATTTACAGTGGAGGACATTTTGATTGGAAATTAAACATCAAATTTTAGCTTGCGTGCTTATTTCATCTTGCAAATTTATTTTGATTGGAAATTAAACATCAAATTTTAGCTTGCGTGCTTATTTCATCTTGCAAATTTATTTTAAACATCAAATTCTACCTTGCGTGCTTATTGTGTCATTTTCTGGATGACCTGCTTCGGACCTCCTTTCTGCTTTTCCTGCAATTGACATATTGTCATTTTCTGGATGACCTGCTTCGGACCTCCTTTCTGCTTTTCCTGCAATTGACATATTATGCATTAGGAGTTGACTCCAAGAGCGAAGAAGCATGACAAGTGCCCTTTTAGCGGCGAATTAATATATCTGCTTAAGCTATTCTTAGAAATTTGCCGGTTTAAAGTAAACATTCAGAACTGATAAAGCTATAATTATGCAGGCGGTGGGGCTATAGTTGTTCAGAAGTGTATCAGCTTAAGCCTTGACTATACAGCGTAAAATAAATTCAAAGCAAATTTCTCTTCAATACGAAAGCTAATTGCACAGCAGCTTGTTTATGAACAAGAAAATATTTTTCAAAAATTATTGGAAGTACCTAGAGATAAATAAGATCGTTAAACAGTAATAAAGTGCAAACATGCAAAGAAACTTTACAGTGATGAGTGGCGAAAATTCAGCAATATGTCAGAAACATACAGAGATCGGAGGAACTAGACTTAGTTCCGAAATATCGCCCATTCGAACTGACTTGACCTCGTAGCTCAGTTGGTAGAGTATTGGACTAGCAGTCACGGGTTCGAATCCCACCGTGGTCGAGCAAATTTATCAGTCTGCCTGATGTGGATTCACACTCAGAGTAACATCACTATACATTCTACACCTGAGTACATAACACCATAATACAACTTACATCAGTCACGCATAGTGTATAAACTCCGGGATTTCCTATACATTCTCCTGATGCCTCCATGATGAACAAATATTAACTACAGCCACTGTCGTGCATATTTCGTAGCATGTAACATATTATCCGATCCATGTTATTTTCACCGACCTTTTATGGGCGGAAATGTAGCATAGAACTGAATTCTTCATGCTGAGGTTTAATTGTTTAAAACTGAATACAAAACGTTGTTCGAATTAACGCGCTGATTTGAATTCGAAATTAACGGATTAACTTTGGTAAAAAGAACAATATTATATGCTGGTATTTTTCACCATGACAAATCTAAACACAAACACTTGATTGTGAGCTAAATATAAACAAAGCATGATGTTAAAAAGAATGGCAGCAAAAATTTTTATCGTCTAATTTGAAAGAGATTCCAAAACAATATATAGAAGCCTTCACAGAATTTTTACATCTGCTTTATTTCGTGACATTTTGTTTAGAAATATTAGGTAGTCCGCCATCTTTGATATTTGTGGATATGCATAATACGTCACAACTTGGGTCACGCAATTTTATTTTCTTACGAAACAATGATTAATATGCGCCATAACCGCACGTACGGTAAGTGTTTCGGATTTCAACACGGACTGAAAAAGTTTCAAACAATATTAGATTGTTGCTAGGTATTTAGGAGTAGCTTTGAAGGACTTATGCCTGTTGTGGCGTCACCAAAACATAGTTAATGAGGTTAAAAATAAATCCAAGATGGCGGATAGCTCGTTGATTTAGGTGAGAACAATGGGTGAGAATATCTCCCGAAGTTAAACAGATATAAAAATTTTGTAATAGACTTTTATATATTGTTTTTGAATCTCTTTCAAACGAG